CCCACCCCTCCTCCACCCCCTCGCGCAACAACGGGACATGCTTACACAGCAGCAGCTTGAACCTCCAGAGCGCGGACACCTGTGAGGCAATGATGGCGACGATGGGCAGGTAGACGAACCAGGCGAGGAAGCCGGCGCCAAAGTGGAGGTAGAAGTCGAGCTTCTCCGGCTTGTTCTCGAGCAGGAAGGTTCCGCGCAGCTCCAGCAGGAACCAGACCATGATGCAGAGCCGGAAGCCCAGGATGAGCCATCCGGGCCACGTCTGGTACTCGTCCACGTCCTGGATGACGTCCACCTCCATCTGCGGGGCAGAAAGCAGTGGCGTGTGAAGATGTGTGTGTGGGGGTGAGGGGAGAGACTGCTGGCAGACCCGTGGGTGTGAAGGTTAGGGGCAGGGTTAAGGTTAAGGTAGGGGTTAAGGACAAAGTTAAAGTTAGAGGGTAGGGATAACGATGGGGTAGGGTTTAAGTTAGGGGTAGGGCCAGGATTAAGGTTAGGATTGTCAGAGGGTTAGTGGTAGGAATAGAGTTATGGTAGGGGTTGTCTATCTTACCCTATCCATAACTCTGACCCTAAACCTAAACTTGCTCTTAACCCCATCAAAACTACGTGGTGATCCCACTTGACATTAAAATTTGTCGAGTAAATGATTAGAAAAACTGAGTTTGATGTCGAAGTTCTAATATAATCCTAGCTATTACTCTTGGCTGCAAATATACTGTGATATGGTGAAAATTGTACTAAATTTGCTCAATTATTTTTATCTTAAATTATCTTCTTGACTTTAGAAAAGTTGATTTCCCAAGTCCAACCTTGAAAATTTCATATATATGATGCTAGTTACTATTCCCAAATATAAAAACAAGTTTTCGAAATAAATCTTTATCTATATCTGAAATCAGTAGTTATGATGAACACTAACCATAAAAATTTTGTAAAATTGTGCATCTACATAAACTGTGTAAAACTGGATATATATATAGAGAATTCTAATTCCTAATCCAACATGTATATAAAACTCATAGTGACGAATGTCACAGAACTAAGTCCCCAGATTAGGACATTCTACAATGCACGACTTTCTGTTAGTTTGGAAGGAATTTTTTTTGTATACCAAATTTCAATCTTTCTTATCTAGATTGTGTACAGCACCACGCACATATAGTGTACACTGTAAGGCTAGCAGCAAATAGTGCTTTCGCTGAAGCAACACTCACACAACCGTAACCGCATAGCAACTGCTATATATTATTCTTTGAGCGATGTGGACCATTGTGACATTACGATTGATTAGAAGGCATTGATGCACCATCACCACAGTGGATGCAAAACAGACCACCCCCTGGGTGCACCATCCACAATATTTCTGGTGAATGGCAGGAAGCTAAATTGCCGCGCACACACGTAACTATTTGCGAGCGTATTTGCCTGTAAAATCAATACATTCTGAATTTAAGACACCCACACATTCGCGGCCAGCCGCCGGGATTTTATCAGCTTCCATCGGGTTCTGCAAAGCTTTATTTAGAGGCAGGCGTCTGCGGCTCTCGTGGGAAATTCCTATTTGATGGGCATCCTACTCTCGGAACGTAACAAATGTAGATTCGGGACAGAGACCAATTATAAATAGTATGTGCAATGATCCTCACATCGTTTATAATAGACAGCCACAAGCACAACGCATCTATTATAATTAATTTAGGATTCTCAGAGATTTTGCTCGTTTCGCTTGCATTAAAGTACGGCAAAAACGGACATATGAAACAAACAGAGCACATGTTATGTGTTATGTACATATTTATGTGTGTAGCTAATGCATTTAGTAAGATCATTAAAGCCGCACAATGCGCATCCAAACGCTAATTTCTCCAGTACTAGACTAGCAAATACTTCGTGTCATGCATAATCATACTACCTTATGG